CAAACCACTGAGCACCAAATCACACAGCAACCACCATTCTCACCAGTTCAATCGAGAGACAACGCTCATCAGTTCATCAAGAATGTCTTCTCTTGACGACTTATCACGACTTGCCCAACGATATCAGCTAAAGGTAACACCACTCATCTCTACTCGCTTCCCTGTTGGTTCGACATTTTATCGTGCTCTTTCTCTTCTGTTCCATCTGTTCTTCCAACGCCTCCTCCCATCCTCCGGTTCAATCAGCGCACTCGTTCCATCTCATCCGGTTCCTCCTCTTCATCATCCTCAGCATCCTCGTCGGGATATGGTAGTATATTGAGTGCAGATGAGGACGACAAGAAGAACGACCAGTCGGACCCTCAGTCCAAACAGAATGAGCCCAGCTCTCACCCTCCCAAGCAAAACCATTCGAACAACTCCTCTGACCATCAAGGTGATAGATTGGGGATAGACAACAAGGGAATGCAGTTACTTCTGAAGATGGGGTGGATCCAAGGAAACGGGCTGGGTGTTGGTCAGAAAGGTAAGTCCATGACAATCCTGATTCCAATCTCGAAAATTCAAAAGGAAGAAAAAAAAAATGATTTAGCTATACTATTGATTTCATAGGAAGGAAAGAACCGATCCCAACACCAGCACAAACACCTCTCCTCGGCCTGGGCAAAGCAACCCAAGATGCCTACATGCTCTCGAATTCAATCTCTAAGCCGAAAGAACTCGAAAGTATGGTCATTGCTCGAGAAACTGAAGAAGCTAAAGTGAAGAGAGAAGAAAAAGTCAAAGAGATTCAAACTAGGGTCGTCGAGCGGGAAGACCGGTTGAAAACATTTCATTGTCAAGTCTGTGATAAAGGGTATGTATTCTCAAGCTCTCAATACCTTAATTATCTCAGTATTAATATTCGATTGCATCGCATCTATGTGCACGTCTATTTCCTGGGGATGAAGATATACGACGATCAGTCAATTTGAGGAGCATGAACGATCGTACGCTCATCATCATGCCAGGCGCGCCTTGGAAGCAAAAGAAGCGCGCAAATCAATGGGAAGCTCAGCAGAAGCTAAGTTAGAGAAGGAGCGAAAGAGAGAAGCTAAGGAGCTCGAACGAATGGCGCGCGCGGCGGGCATGAGCCTCGATGCCCGACCATCTGTATCAGTTAAGCCAGAGCTTCCCAAGACTGGAAGCGCAGGCTTCAAGAAGCCAACTGCAGGATGGACCAAGCTTCCTCCCCCTGCCTCCACCCTCTCTACCAGCCAGAATCCGGATCCTCCGATAGATTCGGGCTTGTGTATCTTGCCAGCTGATAACAGCAAACCTATCAATGGTTTTAAACCCTCCGGTTTCAAAAAATCCTCTGGATTTGCGCCGATTTCTTCAGCTTCATCCTCTGGATTCAAGCCTATCGCTGGAACAAGCACTGTCAATAGACCAAATCATTTGACCTCGTCATCATCATCTGCGACTCCGACCAGACTTCCGCCGACTTTTGTTGCAAGCTCGTCGATCGAGACCAGTTTTAAGCCATCCCTGAATCACCCGCCTGAAATTCCCATATCTATAGACGATCGATCCAATTCTGATACTACCGGTGCCTCTACTCCAGCCCAACCTACTTCCAAATTTGCCCAAATTGCGGCTCGCTTGGCTGCTCGAAAAGCGGCTGCCGCTGCTGCTGCCCCTGGTCACCCTTCCCATGCTGATACCACAGGGTCAAACATGGACAAACCTAATTCGAAAACTGCTACTGGTTATGATTCGGAAGTTGAAAAAATGTTGGACTTGTGATGATTCTTACATATGTTTTCGCATCTCTCATTCTCTTTTCCTTTGAACATACATGTATGGTGTCAAATTAATGAGGGTCAAAAACCAGGAAGAACGTCGAAGAACCCCATTTTTGAGATGGCTGCTGGTTGACATTCACGTTGATAATAAGGCGAGCGAGTCTCGACGCGTTTTTCATCTTTGACTGAACCCAAAGCTTCGAGTCAGCTTCTTCTTAGGTCCTACTTTTCACAGAAAGTTGCGTTTTCTTAAATTTGAAATGGCGTATACATGAATTCAAGTAATAGATAGATTCAAAGAGGTTGATAAATGTAAACATCACAAATCCAAATCGTCCTCAAGACAAGGATTCGGGGAGCAGACAGAAACAACATGTGTTTTTGAGAAACAATCCTTTGGACTCGCAAGGCTCGTTACTTCTTCGGACAACATCAGATTGCGCGGATTGATGATCTTCATTACGAACACACTACCAATCACCATCTTCATCGTCGGGGGTTGAATCTTGGTTCGACCCTGATACAGAAACAGAAAAAGACAAGATCAATCAACTGATTTTTTTTGGTAGTAGACCAGTCTTATGATGTATACTCACAGCTTTGATCTGAATCATCGACCTCTTGATACGAAGTGTTATTATTGTTATTATTGTGGTCATATTCACGTTGAGATTCGCCTGAAGAAGAAGAACAAGAAAAATTGTTAGCTTTTATGTTGTAACAGACAAGACACAGTCCACAATCTAACCTTGTTGATAGCCGGAAGCATAGGCCTCATTTTCACGTTCGTGTTCCCGATGTTGATGTTCTTTCCATTCGTGATTAATGAGACCACCAAGAGCTACCCAAGGATGTTGTTTGAGTTTCCTCGAATGGAGCTTACCACTCAAGGCACGACTATTTCAATGAAGTAGACTTACCTAGACCTCCCATAGCGCCCATCCCTGCAGCCATAATTCCGGAGGCAGCCGAATTGGATTTGTTTGCGCCAGCGTTATTGGTCGCTGTCAACTGCTTGGTAGCTGGTGCGGCAGAGCCGTTGTATCCTTGTGTACCAGCGGCGCCATTATTGGCTTGTTGAGTAGTAGATTGATACGCTCCTGTGGGAGCTGGCCCGTTGGGGTTCCGAGCTGGATAGTTGCCATAAGCCATTGGAGGGGGGCCGGCTGGAGGCAGCACTGGCCCAGGATGTATCCATTGTGAAAGCGGCGGTTGTGCGAAGGTATTGACAAAAAACCACGCTTGATATTGCTGGTTCCATTGCTTTATCCTGATGGGATTTTCAAGAAGAAGCAAATTAGAGAAATGCCAGCAAAAAAAAAATCCGATTCTTTAAACAAAAGGAGCTTGCTTACCATCCGGCTGGTAATGTTGGATCGCTCACCGGTCCCGCCGACGAAGGAATCATTTGTTGTTGTTGATGCTGGGGTCCCCATGGAGCAGCTGATGAGTGATTCTGTACTTGCGTCATATACGCAGACGGATCACCGGGGTAGCCTGATGGGTGGGGGTTGGTGTGGTGAAGTACGCCATAGCTCTGCTGGGAGTACATACTTTTTGCCGGAGTGATGAATATTTGTTTTCAAGGATATAATATAGGAGACGGTTCAATGGGATTAGCTGAAGAAGAGTTCGTGTCTTTCGAGGAAATTGTCCGCGAACAGACTTTATAAATTGATGGGTTCCGCTATGGCACCCAAGGAATTCTCCGAAACCTTCTTGGTCTTCTTCGGAAACAAGGACCTTGACCGAGTTAATGACCATGCCCCAGACCGTGGCATCAGACATTGTTTACCTTGCGCCATTGCAATAGATTTATAGTACTGGAAGCCACCAGGCGATGGAGACACTAGAAGCTCGATGGAGTTGGACTAATTACAAGTCACGCTGTCTTTGCTCTGATGAAATCCACAGACCTGCTCGTTTTTTTTTTGCCGGGTGGTTAGGAAGGGACTCGATTCTTGAACCCGAATTGTCTATAATTCAATAGAGATACATACACCCATTAGATAAGACCTTAGGCGGCTCAGCTTCTACTTTGTACCGTATCCATACTTTACTTAGGAACCGCACCAAACATTCACAGCCAGGAATTTTGCTTGGCTGGAAGTGGGACACCTGATAGGGCAACATATACCGTCCTGGGTGGGAAGACCAGCTTCATGATCTCGCGTTCGGTAACCTCAGGGAAACAAGTATTGCATCTCACGCGAGTGTAGAGATTGCAATATCTCATATATCTACTTCATGGAAACCTCACGAATTTCGTAGATTCAAATTCACTTTGTTTTCAGTGCTGATGCAAGGAGAATGTTGAATGGAAAGATATTGAAAGCGCCTTCACGGCACATGTCCTCATTTCTACTCACTAAAGCCGCCCAGGGAGCCAGACTCATGGCCATGCTAATAAATTCAAAAATATCTTGTGGTCCTTGGCTGGTGTTAAACTGATCAACAAGTGAACGGTTAGCTCATTCGTTCAGCGGCAGGCGATCAGGACATCGCCCGTATTTGTCTTCGCGATTCATGTCGATCATGTTGGACACGTGTATATACACTGGGTTTTGGGATCCCCTTTCTTAATTTTTTATTAATCATTAGTACAATGGTTGATATTTAACTCAGGAAGTCCTGCCAGTGTCAGGACTGTGGAAATTGGGGATTCATTACTGAGTCGAACCGAGTCGCGCCCACCGTCGCCGAATTGACTTGAAGTCGGCCCGAGCCTAACACAAGCTAACTTAACAAGTCCCTCTTTATTCGGAGGGGGGACGCCGTCCCGCAGGGACCCTCTCTTTATTCGGAGGGGGGACGCCGTCCCGCAGAGACCCTCCGAATCGGATGAAACTGCCGGAGGTACTTAGCTAAGTTAGAACACAAGCCCCTCGAGACCCCGAAGGGTCTTTGGGACTTGCGTCAAGCTCGCAGTCGGCAAGGCTTCAAGGGGATTCCGAGATTTATGCCTATAAGCTCACCGACTAGAATCGAAGCGATATACGCACATGAATATGTATCCATGTCAATGATATGTATGACTCTTCCTTTTGTCGAAAAGTTCATTTGGAGAAAGGGAAAGAATTGCAGGGCAGCAGCTGATAGCATATGAGTATCGTCATCCAACAAGGGTAGGGCTTGTGTTAAGTATGTACCGCTAGCCACAGCTTCGAGCTCATCTTTACAGTTGCCCTGGTTGATAATGGGAAACTAGTACATCTGATAGGGTACCCTGCAAAATCCGAGCATTATTGGCGATAGCCTACTAAAACAGGATTCTCAAGAACGCATTTGACAAAAGAGAATCGGCTGAAAAATATCATTATTCGCAATGCACAATTGACAATACTTCTTTTGTTTCCAGTCACGTTAAAACTGTTTATTCTACAGATGTACCACCCGCTCTCGGACCAGGGGCTCGGTGCATTTCGACTATGTAGTCTAGCATTTCGGAGACTTTTAATTCGACAGGATGGTTAGGTGATTTTAAAGACCCGTTTCTGGTTCGTGAGCTTTCGACATGAGGTTACATAACTTTTGAGGGTGTACTGAACTCCTCAGTCTATCCCTCATCCTTCTCGACCCATAAACAAACACACCCATGCCCCAGTAACCTGCGCTTTTTCCATCCCCCAACTTTTCCGTTTCTTTGGAAACTTTTCTGAGCAGCGCAACCATCCCCTTCTTCCTTCTTTCCCACACTTGAGAGCATTCCTCTTATCTTCCCTACCCTGAGTCTCCAAGCCTACAATTCGAAGAACACTGCCTCTTCCCACACAAATTAACTTCCCCTTCCGCTCCCGACTACCTTCAGAAGACAATCGGCCAGACCCAATTCCCTTCGCCCCCCCCATTCTATTTGGCTATCTTATTCGCTCCTCAACCCGAAAGTCGAACAGTCGCGACAACTCACTTGTTCCAAAAAACACCAACCATGTGCGGACCTAAACTAATCCTATTTCCGGTACTTTACTTCGTCTTGGTACCAGCCGTGGCCGGCCACGGTTACGTCAAGTCATGGGCTTCGGAGGATCTAAAATTCCAAAAGGCTCAGAAGCAATCACTGAGTGACACCGCGTTCCGGAACGCACCCACGAATATCGGTTGGATTGGGAGCCAATTCATCAATACCCCCGCCTTCGTTTGCGGCGCATCTGAAACTCCTCATGATAAGGTTGCCCCACCAAGCGGAACACTTTTCAGTGCCGCAGACCAGAGCGCCAAGAAAACTTTAGCGGTCAACGCCGGCAGCAAAGTGTCGCTAATCATTGGAGGAAATCAGGGTGAAGGGTAAGCCAGACTGCTTCAGAACACCTATCATTAATACTTGAAACTAATTTTCTCCATACATCCAGCTTTCCCCACCCCACGGGGCACATGTTGGCTTACCTTGGTTTTTGTGGAAAGTCTCCGACAGCCTGTCAAGACTTTGATGCATCTAAAGCAGATTATCATAGGATTCAAGCCGAGATTGACGGTATCTCTAACAAACTTCGAAAGCAATTCAACTCTGAACAAGATGGCCACCGCTGGGATGTCCCGATTCCCAAAGATATTTCTGATGGAAGTTATATACTTCGGATAGAAATGTAAGCTCACTCCAACCGCAGTGCATCCAATTGGAAAGCAATGATAGCCACACTATGAGCTAATGATTTTGTTTCCCCTTTCTTTCAGGATTGCATTCGGTCAATCAAGTCCTGTGGAAGGGCATCAGGATCAGTATTATGTGTTTTGCGGACAGATTGCAGTGAAAGGAGGCACGGGATCAAGTCCTATCCCGGATGACGATCAACCTACCATCAGACTTCCGGGCGCGTTCAAATCTGGAAATATCAGCCCGAAATCATTGCCGACCCCATTGAAATTGGCCGCAGGCTTGAGTGCCAAAGAGTCTCAAAGTAAGGTGCAAACAAAATCTTTGAACCCCGATGGTGACAGCAACGAAAAAAAATCCTCAGACTCGTCAGACCCTCCTGAGTCCTCAGACTCCAAACCCATCGTTACTTCGGTATGCGGAGATCGTTGTTATAAGAAAAAAATAACCGAGTTGAAGGATTTGGCACCGAGCTGCTCCGCCGATCAATTTACCTGTATCTGCAAATCCCAGTCATTTGTCAAAGCATATCAATCCTGCTGCAATGATCACTGTCAGGTTAGTTTTTCAACAATTGAACTGTTCATGCCTACTTGGTTGGCCTCCTCCAAGCCTCTAGTGCACATGTCTTACTTTTTGTTTTCTTCCCGGCACCCTTTCTTCCTCATCCAGGGCGTTCGAGAGACACGGTCAGCTGTTAACGAAATCTACGTTAAATGCGAATCCGCTCAATCTCCATCCGATTCAGATGACAACTCGAAATGATTGCAGTTTTATTTTATTTTTTTATTTTTCAAAGATTTGAATTTCCATGATTCTATTGATTAAAATCTTGTTTTCGTTTTTGGGGATTGTATCTGCTATTCATTGTAACTAATATTGATCAGTTGGTTGTTTATTTCCTTGAATCGTTAAATTAAATTTCCTTATAATCAAGTCCCCTGATTCCTTGTGTGAACAAACTGGCTAGTCGCGTGGTAGTGAGAACAAACTAACAACAAGGCTTTGAAAGCACAAGGAACCCTATGTTTGAAATGAAGCATTAACCAGTCCATCTTTACAGAGGCTCTTGGGTAAAAATGCACATTTTCTTCTGTATTACTCTGAAGCAACCAATACCCCACATTGCTTTTTGAGACATCTGTTCTGATGCACATTTCTTTGATTTTCAACTACTAATTATCATGTTTAATTGTGGATGCCCCAAGTATCTTTCATTATTTCATCTAGGTATGTGTGTTTATTGTAAGAATTATGACAACTAAGAGCAGGGATTGCGTTAGAATCAAATGACTATGTACAATCTTGTATTTGCTGATTCTGATGATGAAGAAGAAATGACTTTTTACCTAAGAGCAGGACTAGTCTTACTATCAACGAGAGTAGTTATAAGAGAAAGTATGAGATGTTTTTGTGGTTTCTTTATGTTCGGAGATAGAGGAAAAATCGATAGAGAGAGAGACAATTAGAGTGGAAGATCTGAAAGTGAGCGAGATAGAAAAGGAATCTGTTTTGAGTTGAGATGCGTCCGGCAGGACTTGGTCAGTTACGGTTGAGCATTCCTTTCAGGTAAGTCTCAGTTCGTACTTAAGATAGGGTCCTGGCCGGTGGGCACGATGGTAAGACTCCTAAGTCACGGGTTTGTTAGATCGTTGTCTGTTAAGGATGTAAAGTCACCGATTAGTTCTGTAGTCACAAGCAAGGTCATCCTAGAGGGAAGCTTACTCTGCGGTTTGGGGACTAATGCGGTTGGCAAGTGGTTTGGTAGAGATTCGGTGGGAGATGGTACTGTGGTGGCTTTAAGCAAATGAGCGATTGATTTAGTCTGGGGATTGTTATCCTGGACACAGAGAATAGGCTCATTATATACTCACAGGTCTGACCGCTTGCCGTCCTTGGTGGGCACAAGCAGGTTCTGAGTCTCCTTGGGTGTCCCAGATTGGGCCCTTTCCCTTGCTGTCATCTGACGCCTTTCATCTGCTTTGGATCAGAAAGAAGGGTTCAAAGCAGGGATGAGTTGTTATGCTCGGTCTTAGTTGGACTCGTTTGAGCTATCACTTACCGTAAGAGGATGAGGCTGAATCAAGCTCCTTGCGACATCTCTTTTCGGTTTTTGGGCCGGAACTGGAAATCCGACAGCCTGGGTTGCTTTGAGCCGCCTGGCGAGAAGCAGGTGATGCTGGTGAGCGTACCCCTATGGCAGTCAAGGAACGATTGATCGTACTTCTGCCAGTTGGTTTGGTGAGGAAGTCGGCAGAGTTTTTGTTGGTGCGGATGTACTTGAGGGTGATGAGTTTGTCGGCAATGAGTTCTCGTACGAAGTGGAGTCGTATGTCCATGTGCTTTGTCCTGAATCCATTTTGAGATGTCTCACTCCAAGCGAGGTCTATCGCACCTTGATTGTCCACTCCAATGGGAATGTGTGTGGGATCATAGCCGAAGTCGAGTTCTGATATGAGATGAGATAGCCATGAGATTTCTCTTCCTAGGTCGGACAAGGCTTTGTATTCTGCCTCGGTTGAGGAGAGTGATACAGTTGACTGGCGGGTCGCTTTCCAGGACAGGACTTGGGTGTGAGTTAGTACTACATATCCAGTTGCTGATCTCCGTGTGTCGGGGCAGTTGCCCCAGTCAGAGTCCACGTGCGCGCTGAGGGACAGATCGGGTTTCTTTTGAAAGATCAGCCCCACCTGTTTCGTGCCCGATAGGTAACGGAACACCTGCTCGGCTGCCCTAAAGTGAAGGATCCCTGGCTTCTCGAGGTGTTGCGAGAGGACACTGACGGCATACGATATGTCGGGCCTGGTGAGAACACTGAGGTAGTTGAGCGATCCGACGAGAGCGCGGTAGTTGCCGCCATGATTTTTCAGTTCCTCAATTTCCATGGCCGTGGCCGCCTTCATGTGACCCTTCGGATTGAGAGGACATGATGAAGTGGGTAGACAGTCGAGGCCAAATTCTTGGACCTTCCGCTCAATATATTGGGTGAATGTGAAGGCCTTCAGAGGTACGGTCGATATTCATGCCGAGAAGGAATTCGGCTTCTCCAAGATATTTGATGTCGAATTCTCGTTCAATCTCCTCTTTGAACACGCTGGGGTCCTTGCTGATGATGACAAGATCGTCAACGTGCGCATAGATCCAGGTTGAAGGTTTTGAGTCGGTTGATGGCCGATGAAAGACACAGGGATCGGAGATCGTCGCAGAAAATCCAATGGATTGGAGGAAGGTGCTCAGGCATTTGTACCATACCAGGGATGCCTGCTTCAGGCCGTAGATGGCCCTTTTGAGTTCAAAGATGGTACCGTCTGCACAAGGATAGCCTTGAGGAGGGAAGAGAGTGACCGTGTCCTCAAGTGGACAGGTTAAAAATGCGCTGCGAACGTCCAGCTGATGTATGGCGAGGTTGCTGTTGACCGCAAAAGAAAGAAGCAGTCGGAGAGAAGCGGCCTTTCCGGTAGGGGCATATTTGAGGTCGAAGTTGACACCAAACGTTTGACGAAATCCTTGGGCACAGATGCGCGCCTTGTACTCAACGATCTGATTTTCCGGACCCAGCTTCTTCCTGTAGGCCCATGTTGAAGCGATGGGGGAGTCCTCAGGCCGACGAGGTCGTTCAACCCAAACGCGATGTTTCTTCATATTGTTTATTTCTTTGAGTTCCGCTTCTTTCCATTGTAGATGATCGGGACTCCTCATGGCGGTGTTGTGAGATTTGGGCTCGATTGAGGTTGCAACAAAGTATGCACGGTTTCGTGTTCTCTTGCCGGCAATGATGTTGTCTTCATTGATGCCGCTGTTGATGGGATCGGATGGTTGGAAGTCTTTTACATAGGTCCATCTTTTCCCGGTTTCCGGACTGACAGGATGGTTATCAACAGCTGCTGAAGGATCATCCAAAGGAGAGTGATCGTCGACCTCATCTGCATTGCTTTCTTCGGGAGTGTCCTCCATGGTTGATTCATCGAATGGAAGAATTGGTTCGAATTGGAAGATGGGAAGCGAGTCATTTTCAGATGGGGTGATGTCCAGGCTTTTGTGAATGGCTGAGTGGCTCGGAAATGCTGTTTCATCAAAGGTCACTTGTCGAGAGCAGATGACTTTGTTGTCTTCATGCCGGAGTATGCGGTAGGATGATAGGTCATTGGCGTATCCAACTAGAGTTCCTTCCCATGAGATAGGGTCGAATTTGTTGTCCCTGTTGACTTTGGGTTTAAAGATCCATGCCTGACATCCGAAAGGTCTAAAGAAAGAGATGTTCGGCTGTTGCTTGAACATTAGGTGATGCGGTGACGTTCTGCTCTTCGACAGGGAGGGTAAGCAGTTGGTGGTGACGGCTGCTGCAAGAACTGCCTCTCCCCAGAATTCCGACGCAAGATTGGCTTGAATCATGAGACATTGGGTCATCTCGATTATGGTTCTGTTGGCACGCTCGGCGGTCCCGTTGTGTTGAGGAGTGTAGGGCGGTGATACGTTGTGTTGAACGCCTTCTTCTTCCAGAATGTCCCCAAGAGCTTTGTTGCAGAACTCTCCTCCGCCATCGGTTATCAGCTTCTTCATTGAGTTTCCTGTTTGATTTTCAAAGAACTTTTTGTATTCAACGATGGCCTTTGTCGCGTCGGATTTCTCTTTGAGAAGACTGATGTTGATGAAGCCAGTGTGTTGATCAACTAAGGTCAAGAAGTATCGAGCTCCTCCATTGGTGGCTGGCTTGATGGGTCCAACAAGATCTCCGTGAATGACCTCCATCGATTTGAAGGCAGGGGTGAAATGTCCCTTGAATGGTAGACTCGTCATCTTGCCTTGGACGCAGGTTGAGCAGAGTTCTCTTGGTCCGGTGTAAGACTCAAAAGTGGTTATGAAAAACCCTTTTGCTGAATGGAGAAGGGGATGATGGAGTTGCAAGCTCTGCCCTTCTATGCTATCAGAACAACAAGACCACCAAGCTTAGCTTGGCAGTTATATTTATCGTGATAGAGGATAGTTCAAGATGAAGCTTCCGAGTGATGTGTATAAGGGTCTGAAGTTGTTAATGAGTGATGATTATATTGATGGAGTTGTTGTTCAAAGCTTTAATACCAAGGCTTGGAGCTCTGGGAGCGCTATGCTTCAACCAGTATTGGTATGTGAGGCAGGTTATGGGCACTTGGCACTTGTTATGATGATGAAACTGTTATGGTTGTATTTCAATATAATGTAGTGTTATGGCTGTCACTTGTATATAATCTGTAAGGGTGGTTGAGATGATCTGGTCCACTGGTGGGATGATGGAGGGAACAACTGGCAGGCAGAGGCCTCCTTATATAGACAAATGTGAGGGATTTTAGCCCCAGGGTACAGGCTTTTGAGGCATTTTAGCTGGCCTGAAGATCCAATGAGGGATTTTAGCTAGTCTAGTACATGCAGGTGAGGGAATTTGGCTGGTGAGAGCACTGCCTTGAGGGAATTTGGCTAGCCTACAAGGTCCTACTACAAAGGAATGCATGTGCTCCTACAAAGGAATTCAATATGCACTATGTGCCAATAAAGGAATTCAATACAACACAAAGGAATTCAATATTCAGTATGCATGCAGTATTCAAAACAAGCCACACTGTGAGTAAAGAATCCAAAAGATATCCCGTGATAGGTTGAAATCTGTGTAACTTCTAAACTATGAGAGATATGGGGTCAGTCGTAGTGGGTGAACTAGGGGTAATTTTACCTGAGAAATCCATTTCTGATGTTTATTTTTACCATATATATAATATATAACGAGATAATAATAAATTTTTATATTTTTCTGCGTAGAAACACAGTATTATTTACCACACCGGAGGGAATAAGGTGACCAGTGGCAATCTTGAGTCTTGCCATGCAGGCATGCCCAAGCCGTCGATGCCACTTAATGAATTCCGAGGGAGGACCGTTCACCGTGGTGACGAGCGCTCGTTCGGTGTGTATGCCCTCGATTTCAAACAGATTGTTTGAGGTGTCTACCATCAGAGTGTGATTTCCATTGATGGTGATTTTCAATCGTTTTCCGTCCGCAGTGATTTCAGCTTTGTCTCTGATGAGCTGAGCAAAGGAAATTAAGTTGGTGCTCAAATTCGGAACGAAAAGGGAGTTCTTGAGGACTATTGAAGTGTTGTTGTTGAGTCTGAGATGAGCGGTTCCTCGTCGAGTGGCCATCATATTGCGATTCTCTTCTCCAGATCCGGTCACTATGAACACATTAGCCGGTTTGGTCGAGCTGAAGAGTGATAGAGAATTGAACATGTGTTGGCTCGCTCCTGAGTCAAGAATGAATGTGTCATGGCTTGCAGCGCAGTCACTGGTGTGATAGCTGAATGCCTCAGACACGCCTTGTCCCCCAGAGGTCGTTGTCACATAGTTCGTAGCTCTTCTTTTCCCGGCGGCGATCTTTTTGTCCGGGTGGAGGACAAAGCATTCCGATTCCTTGTGTTTTGTTTCAGGATTGTGTCGACCATCGGAACAGACAGGGTAGTTCCTTTTTCTGCTTCCAGTGGTGGTGTTAAGGGCATTCTGCGTACCGATCTCCTTGATTTTTCGGATTTGATCATGATTCGCAATCTGTCTGAGTCTGGCCAGAAGTGAGTAAGGATTGGAAAGCGTGTCCATGTCTGGGAGAAGCCTTTCCATGAGGGCTGGTCGCTTATCGGTGATCTTTTCCATTATGGAGACGCTGACGATTTCCTGCATGACATCCAGACCGATGCTGCTGATTTCAGACAGAGCCGCCTCGATCTTGATGATGTATTCCAAAAGATCGTCTTCATACGTGATTCTGCTGTAGTTGACCCAAACGCGATAGATCCCGTATATGTTTGCGGCGGCGTAGTCTTCTTTGAGCTTTTGCCAAATTTTGAATGGGTTTCTTCCGCAGATGCTGTTGATGCTGTTGAAGATCTCCGGGGCAATCTTGGAGCTGAAAATGAGCCACACTTCAAGGCAGTTGCTCCTGACTAGGTCGGAGACCGTATCGGCGGCTAGAACATCCGTTTCGCACACGTGCCAGAGTTTTTTAAACTCAAGGTAAGCGCTGATTGTTGACTGCCAGTTGGGGAAGTTGTTGCCGTTGAAGATTGAAAGTGTGATGACTTCTTTCTCCTCTTTCTTGGTTGTTGGTGCGCTGGTGGTTGGGTTGACCATTTCGACTGTCCTGCTCCTGAGTTGAATGGTGAAGTTGCCTGAGGTGAGCTAAGTTCGAGTTTGAGACTGTAAATCTGTAAGAATTATGACAACTAAGAGCAGGGATTGCGTTAGAATCAAATGACTATGTACAATCTTGTATTTGCTGATTCTGAT